AATAATGGTTAGTGATATAATTAACCCATAGCTGAAGAAGTGAAGAAGATGAGAAGTGAATTCGTTCCTTGCCCATAAGTCAATAGAACGAACACGACGTGAATTGGAACACGCATTTCCGATTAGCCTTTCCTGGTCGTTGTCCTTTATACCACGCGCACGCTCAAACATACAGCACCTTGTATTCCAAGCGGTCATCTATCTAGGTACTGACCAGATTCAACGTTGCTTAACTTCGGTGATCGTACAGGAACCGGTGTTACAACGTGATATGGCCGTAAGCCAAAGAATAATATAATTAATATAGCCATTAAAAGTATTTATTTTCTCTTTTTTTTTATTATACTGAATGGGAGAATGATGATATGCGATATGTCGACCAGTATATAATGGTCAGCGATGTCTTCATTTTTAATTTTGATGCTAATTTGACTACAGTAAATGGCTATTATACTTTGGTCAACGGCGTAGCCAGGGCCAGGACTACTTGCGCTAATTTTATATCTCATGTATGAAGCGACCCCCTAAAAATTAGCTTTAAAATTAGGTCCTCAAAGGTCGCATGATACGCGAGTATAATATTTAGCTCGTCTCTACGCCGAGACAGGATGTGACCCAAGGTCGGTTTTATTGTGGTGAACCCGAGCGTGTACACTCCGGCCTAGGACAAAAATTCCCCGATCCCCCGCCACCGTCGGTTGCGCAGGCCTCGGTGGCGAGCACCGATCCTCTCTATTACCATGCGAGGGATGCAGTTGCCAGAGCTGGGCAGCTGCCGTATTATTTTCCACAGTTAATGTCCTGACCTCTGCAGGGCCGCAACTGAGTCGCACTCTACCTGAGAGGATGAATGGTACACGAGTCAAAACAGTAAATATCAAAAAAGCTGCTGCTAATATAGAAGAAATATTCATTTCTTTCTTAACAGCCGTTTTAAGGTTTTCGTTCAAGTTACGAAATTGAAAAAGAAAAAAAAAAAAAAAGAAAAAATGAATTTTGATGTGTTAGTTCTCCAGGATAGTTTGATGATGGCGTCGGCATTATTGATGCAATAGAATACATATACTAGGTTTATTGATCAGAATATAATCGAATTAGTCTTTCATTATCGACGAGCAAAAGTATAATTGCGGCCCTTAAGTGACAAATATTATAATCTAGCCTTGTTTATAATCGTGAATATTTAACTTACATCGCGTATTTCTTAGCTGTTACGAGATTGGCAAAAAGCTTATTGTTCTGGTGATAACTTAACAATAGAAGACGATCCACATTGCTGTATATTTGGTTTACATACGAAATGAAAACAGACAATACTTTATCTTTCTTTGACATCATGCTTCAGCGTGTTAACATTAAGTCTACCTAAAATTCTACAAATGAAAATGATCTCATAAATTTCTATTTTCATCATAACAGCAAAATAAAATCCGGAATAATCATCGGATTCTATTTAAGATCACTCGGAATCTGCAGCCCTCAGTATTTAAATAGAGAGGACAAATACATCAAGCTCCTCCACGGTGGAGTAATGGATAGCAGCTCGGATTGAGGAATTGGAGAGCCGAGTTCGAATTCCAGTCTAATCCATTACATTCACCTGGGAAAGCTATAAATCTTGGGAAAGCTATAAATCCTCTTCTTCCCGCTATGGGTAAACAGCAGAACAGACCGGGTTCTATAGCCTTTGATGGCAATCTACTGCGGGAAAGATACATGATCGCATAGGCATGAATCACCTATTTCATATTCAATGAAAAACACACAGCTCATAAAATATTTAAAAATAGTAAATGATGTAATAATTATGCTTACACCTGAGCTCCCCCTCACAGTAATATGATTGATTGGTGTCAGCCATAAATACACACTGATGTGGAGGTACAGGACGGCGCCTATTGGCTACGCCTATTGGCTACGCCTATTGCCTACGCTTATTGCCTACCTCTACGACGAGGACCAGTCCATTACGGTTACCTGCTAGATTGTCCTACCCGGTTACAGTAGTCAACAACCACTTCGAACAAATATATCCCTTTCTGGGACATATCAGTAAAGCGGTTCTTTGCTGACAAACGCGACTTTCAAAGTATATTGCTCTACCCCCTATCAAAAAATAAAAGAATTATCTAGATTCAACATAAAATTTGTCACAACTGCGTCTAAAGCAATAAAATCTTAATTGATATAAAACAAAATAATAAGCTGTTATTTGAAGGAAGGATTTATGCTGTTACCTGTAATAATTGCCACACAGACTATTTCGGAGAAACGTCAAGAAATTTAAATTTATATGAACACAAAAGAGAATGCTTACAAAACAACACATTACCTGCATTAATTGGTCATCGTTACGAGACTGACCACAATTTTGCTTTAAAAAATATTACTACAAAGAGAAAACAATTTACTGGGACGAAAATGTTTAGAAAGTGTTTTAATTATTAGATCGGCCACAGTAAATTTTGCTTCCATGTTCTTACAACGTTTAACCATTCTTGATAGGTATTCTATTATCACAAATGTGGGTTATTTAATAAGAAAAGCGTTGAAAACATAAATAAAATGTAATGAATCTAAATGACGTCAACTACATAATATACACACAACACATATAAATATAAATTCAAAATAGTCATCGTCTCTCTTTCATTCGTGCGCATGCGTAGTCGCATTAACGTAAAGATAACCTTAGTCTGATGAAGTCCTAAAGGAGTAACTACCGGAAGTATGAAAACGTATTCGCTGAGAAATAATTTTGGAAATTTAATTCTGTGAAGAGTTAATATTGTTTTGCACGTTACAGAAATTCCGCTGTAATATTGTATTTTAAAAACCCTTGTGGGTTTCCCCCCTCCCCGACTATACTCTGTGAACTGTTCCTGTAAATGTCTCGGTCGGTGTTTAGGGGAGAAATATATAAAGAAATGAACAGAGTCAGTTAGGATTCTTTGGCGATTCTTAGAGTGTTCCCCGTTATCTTTCATCGGAGATGCTTCTCACAAGTGTCAGCTATCGAGATTAACCAAGGTCATGTACTGAGAATGTAAGTATTTTAGCAGAATGTCACACAGTAATGGCAATGTGAAACGTCAACTATTCAGCATAGGTAAAGGTCTTTGCACCTCCAATAAAACAACAAATAGAGGAAGACAACGAAGCTGAAGCTAAGTTAATATATTTCAAAACAGATTCACTTAAAAATGAAGAAAATAACAATAATACACAATAATAATAATAATAATAAGAAGAAGAAGAAGAAGAAGAAGAAAATGTGGCAGAGGGAACATCAACAATCCTGTTGAAGTTGGAGCCCAGGACTGGTTGGAAAAGATTGCAGTAGACTAATTGAAGGGTTCTTGGAAGTCAACTCAAGGAGATACAAAAATTGTTCTGGATAAGTACAGCCACACCTTACGAAGGGCTTTATCTATGTAATTTAATTTTTTTTGTCAGTGGAAAGTGTCATGACGCCATTTTTAACCTGCAGTCCTGGCATATGGACCCGGAAAAAATGTAAACGCCAGAAATCAAAGAAATAATAATAATAATAATAATAAGTACAATATTTTGTATTTCTTTAAGGTATAAAAAGCACCTGTAGACTATTGTTGAAGGAATTCCTGGTAGCCCATACCTTAAACAAATAAAAAAAAAATGTACTTACAAGTACAGCTCACACATTACGAAGAGCCGTCCTTGGTATGACGATAAACTACATCCGCGTCAGGGTAAGACGATAAACTACGTCCAACATCAAGGCCTCTGATCAGGAGGTCCTGAGGAGCGTAGAACCACCTCTTAATTACTGATGTTCCCAGGTCCACCCTGACCCGGGGTGGTAGCACTTGTTAGGTGCCAGGTATGGGCAAATAGTTAACCCAGAAACTGAGGTAAAAACCATTATAAAAGTGTAAAAATAGGTTTAAATACAAGAAATACTTTGTAAAAATTATTACCTGAAATAAATTTTTGAAGAAAATATATATATAGATTACTAGCTATACATTTTTTGGAAAAAAATTAAGCAGAAATAGATTTTTTGATAAAACAAATGTACAGAAAAAAAAGTTGTTGGCATAAATGACCCATTTCAAGTTGATATGCCGTAAAACAAACCAAACCAAACATTACAAAGAGATTTATCTATGGAAAATATATGTGACCTTAGTTTATTTATTTTACAAGAAATTATCAGTGGAAGCTTTACTGAACTTAGGACTCTAGTTGGGACCTGGAATAAATGTGTATACAACAGAAACCCACCATCATCATCATCAAGAAGAAGACGGAGAAGGAGAAGGAGGAGGAGGTGGAGGAGGCGGAGAAAGCAGAAGAAGAAGAAGAAGAAGAAGGAGGAGGAGGAGGAGGAGGAGGAATTATAATGGCAACAGTAAATAACGCGTTCAGTAGGAATGATTTGGTTATCAGTTGCTTCACCGTAGCCAGCAAAGACATGTCCTCTCGGGCATGTCACATGGTAGATATATCTTCATGAGCGGGAGTAATAGGGGAAGGAGGCTAATGTGTGGATGTCCACAGTTTGTTTTTATTTAAGTTTAATGATTACATTGTCAAGACGGCTTGGAAGACGCATCTATATACTTGGGTATGCTCTCAATGAGAGACCATCTGAATGGATTACCGACTGGAATAATCGATTTGAAGATATTTTTAATTGTGTTCCACGTTGAAGATTATGTGCTAATTTTATCAAAACTTATCTCCATATCACGAACCGTTGGTTGTGTCACTAATTTCTTTTACGACTCTTGCCTTCGAAGTGTCCTGTGATGGTTAAATTCTCCAAGCTGAAATGTTCAGGTAAAATAATCAGATAAGAAATCTTATTATTTTACCCGTGTGTTTCAGTAGTGCATATATAAATGTCAGCAAGATATTTTCCAATTTTTGATGTCCATCGGCTTAGAGATTTAATGTCCTACCAAAGAATATGTGTCGTTTGCTTCTAGAACTTTTAAGTGATAGCAAGCATGAAG